TATATATGTATGTATGTGTGTCGTTCGCTTTTTTTTTTCCACACCTTTTAAAAATAGATTTCACATTAGATAAAATTTTAATTTAAAATTACCTATAATTTACCACTTGAAAATCTAACGAGATTTGATTATTTTAAATATTTTTGTTGTTTTAATTATGTACCTAAATTTTAAGACTTTGAGATCAATCAAAATTACCTTAATTAAATAATTTAAAAGTCAATTATTTAGAACATTGCTCCCTCCGGTAGGGGTGGGCGTTCGGGCAATTCTATTGAATATTCTTTTTGTTGTACTTTTCAGGGTTCTTTGGGAATATCCCATATAAATAGTAAGAGAGATAAGACAAAAGGAAGGTAATATTCCATATAATAAGAACACTTTTGAAAAGTAAGCTCTCTAGATAAATACAAATAACAACTTTCTGAAGAGATTCGATCTTTATATTCTATCCATTGTCATTTCTACCAGATCCGAGAAAGTGTCTAATATTCTCTCGTATTCTTGTCATTCATCATTGTTATAGGAAGGAATAATTTACCTCATTCAATATTGGGTGAATCTTCCTCCTTATTTACATTTAGTGCCATTTATTTGTTATTACTCGTTATTATTCTCATCCCATTAATAACCGCAACATTTATTGTGTATTGCATTAAATCCACTTCGACGTGGTCCCACGTTATTCGCACAAACTAGTTTTAGATTTAGGGTCATTATCTTTAACTAGGATTAACCCCTTATCCTTTTATTTAATTAATTTAACAAAAAATATACTTTTTGGTCAAACAATTTGGCGTCATCTGTGAGGATTTTCTAGTTAAAATTTTAGTTTCCTCTAGATCTATAACAAAAAAAACGTGAAAAACACAATACTTCCTTGTGCACACAAATCTAACATGGCAGGTAATGGAGAGGAAAGAGGAAGGCGGAAGCCGACCTCACCGCTAATCTTCTTAACACCATCAACAAAGTCGATGAAACAGAGGGTGAGGACATAACACCAAATACATCTCCCCGCCAAAACAGCTCGACCCCTCATAATGGCAGCATCATAACCTCACACGGTAAAGGGGCTTCTATATCCACAACGGAAGAGGTGCCACCAGCAGCGAAAAAGCTGTTCGAGGCGTGGTTGACAAACATGCTGACCAACATTCTCGACAAGCCCGCCCAAAGAACGAACAGAGAAACTGTGAGAGTCTGCATTACACCAGTGACAGACGAGCAGTACGGCCCTCCTCTGACAGGTATTACTCACAGTGTTAGTGATGTAGGTAGCGACACCCTCACAACCATTTTGAGGAAGATGGAAGAGATGGAGAACGAGAACAAAATGCTCCATGACCAAATGAAAGAGCATCAAGAAAGGGTAGATAAAATACCACGCGCCCTAAAACTCTTACCAAAAAGGGACGCCGGCCGGTTCGTTGAGCAACCGTACAATGAAGAAGTTGCACCGCACATCATACCTAAAACCTTCAAAATGCCGATGTACTTAAAAATATACGATGGCATGACGGACCCTGAGGATCATGTGACCCACTATGTCACCGCAATGAAAGGCAACGACCTCGCCAAATAACAAGTGTCTTCTATATTTTACTGAAGAAATTTGGCGAAACCCCCACCGGGGGATCACTAACTTGGTATTCACAGTTGCTTGCACGCTCAAAATACTTGTGGCATCTGTCGGATGATCGCAAGATGAATCTCGATAGGGGGTGATATGGCCATTCAGTCTCCGAACCTATTTTTTGCTAGTTAAATGTTCTGATATCCCCTCTATAGCTTTGATCTGGTCGGGGTTAACTTTGATACCTCGTTGTGATACTATGAAGCCTAAGAATTTTCCTGAAGTCACACCGAATGCACATTTTTCAGGATTTAGCTTTATTCTGTATCGCTTGAGTATATCGAAGGCTTCTTTTAGGTGTCTATATGATATCCTTTCTTTTAGGACTTGACCAACATATCATCTATGTATACTTCCATGGTCTTGTCGTGTTGATCTTTGAACATTTTGATGACCAAACATTTGGTATGTTGCCCCCGTATTTTTTAGTCTGAAAGGCATAACTCTGTGCAGTACGTTCCTTGGTGGGTGATGAAGGTATTCTTCTCTTGGTCTTCCTCTACCATGAAGATCTGATTGTAACCCGAGTAAGCATCTAAGAAGCTTAACAGTTCATGCCCGACCGTTGCATCGATGAGCTGGTCGATATGAGGTAGTGGGAATGAATCTTTGTATAATCTAAGAAGCTTAACAGTTCTGCCATTCTCGTTCTTCTTTTTTCACCATGACCACATTGGCCACCCATTGAGGGTATTTTGATTCCCGGATGGAGCCATTCTGCAATAATTTTTTCACCTCCTCGCGGACCGCATCATTTATTACAAGTTGACTTTTCACCTAACCTGTCTCACTAGAGGGTGGAATGGGTCGATGTTCAATTTGTGTGTGGCAATATCCTTTGGGATACCTGGCATATCTGCATGGGAAAAAGCGAACAAGTTCACGTTGGCGGTTAGGAATTGATAGAATTTACCTGGTTCTTGAAGCTTGTAGCCGATGTAGGCTTTCTTGCTGTGGTCGTTGCCGTCAAGTTGGACAGGATGGAGATCTTCTATGGTTGATTCCTCGGCCTCTACCATTTCGGGCTCTCTGATGACGTCTTCTCTTTCATCATAGCTCGACCATGTTAGTTGCTATGCCTCCTTTGCTTTGCTCCTTATTTGTTGGGTAGTCGTATAGTCTAGGGCGATGGGGTAGCATTCTCGAGATGTGCGTTGTTCCCCTGGTATGCTGAATATTCCCTACGGGGTTGGGAATTTGATAATTTGGTATAACCAGGAGGGGATGGCCCTCATGGCGTGTATCCAGGGTCATCCTATTATAGCATTGTATGTCGTATCCTGATCCATGATGTGGAATGTAGTTTCCAAGGTGACGTCACCGGCCAAGACAGGGAGTGTGATTTCTCCCGATATTCATTCAACCGCATTGTTAAAACCTGTTAGCGTGATGCAACGTGGAACTACCCTATCCTTGAGTTTCATTTGTGCAAGTACTTGAGGGTAGATATGCACGCACCGCTCCTATCGTCCACCATAATGTGTCTTACATCTATATCTAATAATCGTAAAGTGATAACAAAGGCATCATAGTGAGGGGAAACCAAACACTGAGTATCCGACTTATCGAAGATGATACTTTTTTCGAGTTCATCATACCATTCATGAGTGATCGACCACTTGAGTTTGTGGGTGTTGGTGAATTTTACGCTATTGATTGATGCATCGTTGCTGCCTCAGATGATCATTTGAATAGTGCAAGTTGGTGATGGTAGTTTTGGTGGTCCCTGGTGTTATTCACGTCCTTGGGAAAAGTTATTCCTCCCTTGGTCGCTGAGCAATTCTTTGAGGTTCCCTTGGCGAAGCATGTTTACGACCTTCTTTCAAAGAACGATGCAATTCTTAAGTTTGTGACCTTGCTCGTGGTGGAACTCGTAGAGGACGTTTGACTTTCAAGTGCTTGGATCCAACCTCATCTTTTGTGGCCGCTTCACTTTTGGTCCGAGCTTCTCCAGTGCGTAGACTATTTCTGAGGGCGACACACATAAATTATGAGTTGATAATAAAGGAGGCATACCTCTCACGTTCCGATGAGTCCTTGTCCTTGGCCTAGATGGGCCTTCTTTGTGGCGAGATGGGGGCATGATGGTGCTTCTGATATGTGGATGATGCCTTTCTCGGTTAGGTCAAGGAGCTGCAAGGTCTCTCATGACATCGTTTCTTCGGTCCTTCCTAGTTTAGGCATGTACCGAGGTCAACCGATGGGTTAGCCCATTCAAGTCATCTTCGTCAGCACGGACCTCGGCACAATATGCGTTGTGTATTTCATCCCAAGTGATTGGAGGATATTTCATAAGACGACTTAATAATTTTCTGGTACCCTCGAGCCAT